TAAGGCCAGCCCCTGCTCCCTGCCCACCCCCCCACCCCCCCATCCCAGCAGACACAGATGGGAATGAGGTGCCTCACTCCCTCTTCAGAGCAAACTTCTCTCAGATGAACTGGTTTCCATGAGCAAGTGCCTCAGCATCTGTTTTGATGATAAAGTATTCCTTGGTTTTCAGGCTAATTTATGTATTTAAGGCAGGGGCATGGGCCGGATTCAAATAAAAATGAGGACACCTAAGCGTAGGTGTGCATACATGAGTTGAGGGGCTATTTCCCATTACAGCTGATGGAGCTCTGTTCAATACAAACAGCAGAGTTCAAAGAGCCATTCAGATCACCCTAAAAGGGACATGGGGATACAATTCAGTTGCTTAACCATACCTTCCAAATGCCATTTGAGGTATCCTTACCTACACTGCCACTCCAGAAGACTCCTATACACTGTGTTAGATCTGCCAGTCCGGGCTGTATGTACCAACTGCCTGAGGGCATCTCAAATGAGTGCTGCATGCCTGTAAGTAGGCAACTGAATTTAGTTTTTAGTGGCTAGTTAGCCAAATTACTCTTTAGGCTGTGATGACCATGTTGTACAGGTCTCTATTTGTCTGTCACGGTAGCTTAGATATCTGGCATATGTACAGATAGGCACTTGTGTGTAGACTTTTTATTTAGTTGTCCTTAATCTCAACATAAATCTTGCCCAGCATCTGTTTGCTTTATCAAGGCTCAATGGAAATTAATGAAAAGCAAAGCCAAAGAACTCACTGTTTTGTTCCTTAAAAAGAAAATTGTGGTGCATCAGCCTGTAACATCATGAACCACAGGGCTTTAAAATTAATCTCACCAGCACTAAACTTTCGCTCCCATGAAATGTTCAGCTTGACTCAATTTGCAAGAGAATAAAATCTATTAAAGGGTGACAAGTAGCAAACACAGCTTCACCCTTCTGACGCCAAATCTTTTTTGCCCTCTAGATTTTTTTAACGACTTGGATGCGTTGATGGGACCTATCACCTTGCACAGCAGTATGGAGCATTTAGTTCAGTACACTCAACAAGGACTTCACTGGGTGCGGAACAGCGCTCACTTGTCATAATGACTGTGTGCCATTCACATGGACAGTATACCTTTCATGGATAATTCAGTTATTCTGGACACTGTGCTACAGAAATAGTCAACCACAGCATTGATCCAAACAAAGGTGAATATTTCTTCAATATTGAGCAAAATTTTTCTTTAGCGTAGACATGTATATGTGCATATGTACATTATACGATGATGTCTCTTCAGAATGAATCGTTCTGTACCACTCTCCAAACATTTTTGTACACTAGAAATACTGGAAAGAACTGATCTTAGTGCACAAAACATACCCCTTCTATTCTTGTGCTGAAAAACTCAGAAACCAAAATCTTATGGGTTGATTGAACCAAGTGCAATAAGCACAGATCCCTATTCAGGAAAGCTCTCGAGAGATTGTTAACTTTAAGCTTGTACTGAAATCCTGTTGACTTCAGCAGAGTTTAAGCACATACACAAGGGCTTTCCTGAACTGGAATGAATGAGACACGGAGATGGATCATAGACATGGAGAACGTGAGCAAGGACACGTCACAGAATTTTCAATATTAATGTGCCATCTCCCTGTTACGTCCCCACTGGGGCACACAGAGGAGTTGTGTAGACCGCATTAAGTTGGAGAAAGATGGCATTCCTTCATGTGCAATAAGTTTCAACAAATTGCATGCATTTCTTTATCTCCTGTCTTTTTAAATAACTTTACCTCTTGTTCAACTCCTCATCAACAGTATAACCTACAGTATCCAGCAAAAAGCCTGAAAACAGATATGCTGATAGCAAGAACTTAAAAGAGACGGTGGAAAATTGCATTCTGTTACTGACAGTAAGCAGATAAATGAAAAAATATGGCAAACCGCAATCCACTTAGACAAGAAAATGTGTTCATTTCAGCTGCGTACACACAGAGAGACAGAGAGGTATCTACACCAGTTGTTGGCTTTGGATGGGAAGGCTTCATCCCACAGATTTTGACTTTCATATCTTTTTCATCTAGGAAAAGCTTGCAGCATTTTCTTCTAGGCTGTATGGGAGCATTACATGCAATTTCCTTTATCTGGGAAGCTGAGTTTGCTGTTCATCAGACTAAGAACTGTTTCCTATCATAATCCTCTCACTCTTCATGCATAATCCTCAACTAGGCTTTAACGTTTCTTGATTTATGGGATGTTTTCAGTTCCTCTTGACAGGCTGTGTTTTTCGTGCCAGAAGAATTAATCCCGCAATAATTGGAATTTAATTTGGGTCAGCTGAGGTCAAGGCCCGTTCATATCAACTGTGCTTGCATTCAGTCCATTTTTGTTCATTTTCAGGTTTTTTACACATTTAGTTTTCTTTTTTTGTATCAGAAATACAATTTTTCTGCAATCAGATTTGCAGCCCTTACTCGAGTCAGCAGCTCCGGTGACTTCAGTGGACTGGTTTTGTCTGAATCACTGACTGGACCCTTTGATTGTTGTTTTCTAATCTAATTTATATACTAAGGAAATGTGAGTACAAAAGACTCTTTCAATAGAAGATACAAGTAGAAGTAGCCACTGATATTGATGGTTGATTGATTGGTCCTTGCTGCCTTTTTGTTTCCTCCCCCATTTTTGAAGAGCTGCATTTTGAAAGAAAGATACCGAACAGTGCAGCACGTTTTCTCAGCAAAACACCTTTGGTAACACAGGCTGTGTTTAACCCTGTGGTAAAGAGCGGGCTTGAGAGCACGCTGAGCCCCATGTACCTGCATTTTTTGGTCAAGACTGCTTACTGTAACAGCTATTGCTCAGACTCAGAGCATCCCCCCCATTCTTTGAAGCAGCTCAGCGGGGTAGCTACCGAGGGACTGCTCAGCCCCAAGCCATCCTGGGCCAATATTTATTATTGGTGCTCAGATACTTCTCCCCAAAAGAAGTCCTGAGCTCAGGCTGCAGTCACCTCTTAGCATGGTCTTAAGCGCCATAGTGTGGCTGGCTTTAAGAGTGAACATGGACCTGCCTTTAAATGACAAAATACACATCCTCCAAGTCCTCCCATCACTCTTAACTCTGGCTGTTGCCCACCCCAGAAGGAACACAATTTTTTTGGTCACAAATATGGTGGAGAACTTGATCGGTGCCTTTTTGTTTATCACTTGCTTGATCTCCAGCTGTGGAAGTCTGTTGTGATTTACTAGACTAGTAGCAACAGATTCCGTCAGCTGCTTCAATGCCATATGAAGGTACTGTGGGATTTCTCCTCAGATCAGGAAAGTGAAATTCCAATTAGATTAGCTTCTGTTTTCTTTGAAGGTGCCTATGATGTTTATCTTCAGAAAAGATTGGGGGTTTGGGAGCCCTTACTGCTATTTAATGTTGAGAAATTTTAGAAGTGACATATATTACTTGCCTTAAATGGAGTTTAGTTTTATTGCACATGTGGCATTTGAGTTTCAAGTATGGAACTTTGAAGCATGTTTATTTTACTAAGATCGGGATATTTTTCTTAATCACGATGAACTCTTTGTATGGATATAATATGTCAAGAAACTTCAAAGAAATGCAAGAATTAATGCTGTCCTGTTGTAACATTTCCAAGTACTAAGGATCTCTTGTAGATGATTGTCCTTTCTTGTACCTTGTTCTTATATTGAATTATTCCAGCTAAAATAGCTATTGCTTCCATGGAAAAACACATTGTTTTTTAGTTTTTGTGCTGGCATCATCTATGTTGTCTGATGAGCACACTGAGCCTTAACTTCTGGTGGTGTAACAGGATGAAATAGCAGCCATTTAAACCAACTAGACATATAAATGGATTAGAGGTTTTGGCCTTTTCTCCATAAGGTTTCTTGCAGCTATACCATTTTGGTGAGGTTGCTGCTGTTCAGATGACTGAATGTGGTGTGGTGACAACAAATACTTCATTTCATCTTCGTAGGGCCTGGTCTGGAAAAGTGCATGTGGCTTTTAGGTCTGGTCCAATTAAGCGTGTGTTCCACCTTAAGAACTTGAATAGTCTTAGGCACTTCACCGTGAGTCAAAGGTGCTCTGGGTGGGATCAGCAGAGACCATCCTTCTTTGAGGTTCTACAAAAGACGCGTAGTTGTTGCAATCTGCTGTAAAAGCCCAGAAACACGCAGGCTTCTTTATGCCATGGCAACATTCAGGTTCGTTTTGTGAAAGAAAGAAGTCATTCTGTACAAAAGCAGAAGGATTATGCCTGGAAGGAGAGGTTTGCTTACAGACAGAGGCTTCTGAATCAGTCAGGGTTGGGAAAGCAATGGGAATGCATTCAAAGGAACCATGTATTGCAGGTGGATGCAACAAATGCAGAGCAGCCTATAGGATCCTCACAGACAGCAAGATCATGCAGACCCCTTGGCCTTAATGCTTTATAGTATTCCATGGTGGCATGAATGACAGGTAAGAACAAAGCATATGCAAAGGTTCAAGTCTGGCCAAAAGCCAAGCATAGTCCTCCCTGTCGCACGGCAGGATGCCCCAACCCCGTTTTTGCCTATTTCTTTTATCCAAATATCACAGGGCTCCAAAGGAAGAGATTATAGTGAACAGAGGGCCTTAGGTAAAGGAGGTTAAGAAGATCAAGCCCTAAGTGTAGATACAAACATGTATGTATATACTGTAAATCTAAATAGTAATAAAAGTCACTCAGCATGAAGGATATTACTAGTGCCTACCATTGATCATCAAGTACTCATCACTGAGCAGCCATATCACCTCAGAAGTGCAGTAACTGTTATCAAAATAATTTGTGCAGCTAATTAATTTATAAGAAATGCACCTTTGGGACTGTGCCATAGTATCTCTTTTGTAATACAAATGTTCAACCATTTTTCATGGCTACTGATTCAAATCTATATCACTGAAATGTCAGGATATCTTTTTTTCCCTAGATGAGGACATATACTTAGACCTGGCTAATCTGTGCTTAGTTTATCTACCCAAGAGACTTTAGTAGTCACCAGCCTTAATGCATGTACAGTATATACTATTCACTGACTTAGTTGTAGGTTTTAATCCAAATGAAATTGGAATTTGTGAAATGGCTTGGATTAATGGCATCTGCCTCAGATATCCTGCAGATGTGACATTAAATGATTCATGATTTTAAGCAGGAAAGGTTGAATTTTATGTAAATAACAGTGGATGAACTCCTTGATCTTTTTACAAGAAGACTTTTTTTAAATTAAAAGATTGTCAAAGCAATAGGTTTTTTAACTATCCTAAATTTTCTGGAGGGTCATGGGTTCACGGTCAAAGCTATATTAAGAATATCTCCTGCAACATGCTTTGCCTTTACATAATCCGCTTAATGCTTAATATGTCAGAAAGAAATGTTTCTTTTTCACAGTGATAGCAACGTTTCCCTCCCCCATTCAGGGAGAATCCTCAAACTAAAGAACAAAATCTCCTGGCACAATAGAAATACAAACAATGTCTGAAGAATATGGACTTGTTAAGATAACAATAGAAGTTTGGCTGGCGCAGACCTAGCATGCCTCTCGTTCTGTTATCTTTTTTTTTAGCATTTACATCACATATTGGAACTCATTGTGTTTGAAGCTAGAGAATTAGTCTGATTTTCATGTCTTAAAAAGGCCTGGTAGGTCTGATCGCTATCATAATTATAATTGTTACATTAGCTTATGTGCTGTGCACTGAGGGCTGGGAAGGCATGTAACCGTAGATAAATTTGTCAGAATGCATTCAGAAAAGCATTTGGATGATCTTATGTCTAGTCTGCCTCGAAAACTGGAGAACAATGTCTCTCACCCAATAATGTTAGCATGGAAATTTGGCTACTTTAATGTCTCTCATAAAGCTGCCATTTGTCCTCAGTAAGGCCAAGACTCTGTTTCCAGCATTTCTAGTTGCTGCACTGTAAATTGTTCTTAAGGTTACTTATCAAATTGGGAAATTCACTTTAGGCTCTGTTTGCCCTCACCTCACTAAAGCTACATAGAGGAAAAACACCAAGATGTGGAGCATCCAAGGCTCCGTCGTTCTTTCAAAAGACAAAGTTTTCCTCAGT